TCAACCGAGAACACTGCCGTGTGACTTTACGCGATATATATATATTTATTTCACATGACCAAATATTTTGTAATATATACATATATATTTCTAAAAGGTGTAACTTTTTTGTTAAAAAAAACTTTTTTTACTTCAAGAAATGAATAAAAGCTATAACAATTATCGAAAAGAATAGAAAAACATATTTGTTATTCAAATATATATAAAATTCGTGTGTCAGTTTCATGCGCATGCGTGCCCCTTACTTCATACGCATGCGCATGTGTTTTTGTACATGCTTTTCGGGGCCATGTATTTGAGGCAAGTTAGCAGTCTAATATATAAATATAAATGTCTATGGTTCCGAACTCATCATAACCTATAAAGCTGTCAAAGATGTTTTATTTGGAAATTCAAGATCGTAATAATTCAGGATATTTCTGTTTTTGCTTAATGAAAAACTTTTCTGCGTATGAAAGTTCTAAAAATTGTGACAAAAATTTTGTTACTACAAAATTATATATTTTATTATTACGGTCTTGAATGGCAAACTAATAATATATGTCAGTTTAAAAAAATCTAAATATTATTTCAAATAGAAAAAGATTATTATTTTTTCTTTTACAAATGCTTATGATAATGTATTTGTCTGAAATTACATTCAAAATAATAAAAATATATACTTCGAGATTTAAAAATCTTTTTAAGAAATGTTTACTGAAAATACATAAATCACAATTGATTTTTAAGAATCAATTTGTAAATATAAATATTTCTTACATGGTAACAAATTTTAAATTTATAAAATTTTTATCTAACTGCAATTTTGAAATAAGGTAAATAAAAGAAATATATTAAGAATACATAATATATTGAAAGATTAAGAATATGAATAATAAAGAGAAAATTTTGTTATAATATGACTTTATTAGATGCCATTAAGATGTTATAAACATTTATAACCTTGATACTTACATCTGGGTAAACGTAATCTTAACATAATCTCTGTTACAGAAAAAAAATCATATTTTAGATTTAAACATATACAAAATTAAATAAACTATATATATATTACAATTATCTGCATGAAAATGTTAATTCTTATAAACGAATGATGTACATTTAATTGCTCTATACGTCGAAATTTATTTCTAATTGTACAATCAGCATAAAATCCTTTGGAGACATAAAAATAATTCAGTGTAAAATATATATTTCTTTATACTTTAAGTTTATAGCAAATTTCGCATGTTACTGTGCTTTCTTTTCTTTACAAACGACGTAACATGCAGTAATATATCATAAATTATATTTGTGATAGTACTTTTTGCTTCATAAGCGGTACAATTTGTTCTAAATAATTTTAATTAGTAAGCAATTATTAATTCAAAGCGGTAGATGTTAAGACAGCGACCCCCCTTTCATAAAAACTGTGCGGTTCTTGACTAGGAGCGATGTTCAAATCGACAGTAAATAACAATTCGGTACGAGTGCTGTTCAAATAGACTGGCAAGGACAATTTGCCCTTTCTGATGTCTTCCATAGACGATCGCACCCATCTTAGCATGGTGACTGGTAAATCAGTCATGATAGTCGAAGTTAAATACAATTGATTATCCTTACATTGCGCGCCTTGCAGCTTCAAACCAGTAACAGCAAAGGAGCAATCGTCTGTGGCGATGTTATCGCCATCACCGATAGTTACATTTAACTGCAGTTCCTCAAGTGACCAACTATTAGCTTGCGCGATGCATTGCCTAGTCGCAGTGATATAAGCCTCGGGATTCAACAAACCTCCCAACCAAACTGGGAAACTCTGAAACCAATCATAATCTTTATAATCTTTTTATATCAATTTTACTTTTTATATCAAATACACTAATTTAAACGAATTTAACGAGGCAGATATTTTTTCTAAAAAAATAAAGATTATTTAATGATAATATCATAAAAAAATTAAGATTATTTAGTGACAAAATATCTGGAACAGTGAAGCAAGTTTAATGATTTGAAAAAATAAACCTTTATTTCTTTCGCTCCGCCTTGAGAGACTAAACGCGAAACTTCCTGCAGTTGGGAAACTCTGTGACTAAAATCGGTGATCCATTGTATGACTGTGCAACCTCGTGGCACAGTGTATCTTCTCCAACCACCGGGCAAAATACCCTTGACTAACTCGGATAGCATCGTTCTGTGATAATTGGTCTGTTTTTTCTCGCCCTGTTCACAATATACAAAGTACACAATATACAAAGTTATCTCTCTTTAGTTTATAATCGATTAAAGTGACATATAAAATGCTTACTTGACAAATCAGTACGACATCCTCCAAGTCATGAATAACATCTTGAAGTAATTTCGCTCCGCTATTGACTTCCCTCTCAAAGTATCTGTACAATGGATCTTTGATATTTTCAACTGTTCTCTTCAAAGTCGGTAGATTCTTTGGAAGTAATTGTAACCAAGTAGAGGCCGAATTGTGCAGAGTTCTCATCCATGATGGTCGACCATCCGCTTCAGCTTCCCTTGGTGTATCCAAAGATTCCTCGTTCGAATATGCTAATTCATCTTCATCCTCTAATTGTTGCATTTTAAGAAGTTTGGAGACCAAATCAGTTCCTCTCGTAGTTAAAAGTACCTTTTCTGCGTTATTTGGCAGGCCAAGCCAAGAAGGTGTCTGTCTATCCGAAAGAGACTCAATCCACTTCAAAAAGTGATCACGCCTGGTACCGTCTGGCATCGTGATGTGTCTTTGATTTCCTTGCGCGCCATCGATATTGGCTACCAGAGCAAAGTCAGCTTCAAATGAGCGCGGGGTAAAGAGCTTGCGCAGGAAAGAAGCCAGGAGACGTTGATCAAAGTCGTTGTCAATCTTACCGCCATAGATACACTGAGAAAGAAGAGTCACCAAGGCATCCCAAGGTACCTTTTCTGGTGGTAAATTCGTTCTGCCCATAGCCGTGGCTTCAATCCATGTGTCCAAGGTGTCACAGGCGACTCTCAGATCACTCTCGTTGAATTCATAATGCTTAGCCCAGCCCAATGGCGCATAACGTAGACGTTCCTGCACAATTGCGTGGAACCACGCGAGCAGAAAGTAGAGACGGGCCCTTTCATTAGGCGCTCGCATCATCCTCGAAGCGGGTACGGTGCTGAATGTACGCAATAAATTCGCTCGTATGCCAGGAGGCGGTTCAAACACAAAGATCCTACCGGCTCTCAGTAAATTCACCGGTACTTTAGGATTAATTTCCATTGTTAGGAACAATCGGAAGCTAGTGTGTGGCTGAAGACTGTGCAGTTTCTTTTCTAACTGCACCAACCATTGCGGAGCAAGATGTACGTTCTTCAACAGTACCCATCTACCGGCCTTCACAGCCATGTTTATAGCTCGATCGGCTTGATTGAATCCTTCTGCTGATCCGATAGCGATACTGGCTATTTGCTTACCTAATTCCGCAGCTAGATCATCCACTCTACCCGAAGCATCGAAGCCCGGCACTGAGCACAGTAAAGCTGGTACAGTCGCCTTCAGTTGATCTTCTACGACAGATGCAAAGTCAAGTTCAGCTTCCGCGGCTGGCATGAAAGACTCATTGAAAGCGGAAGCCACTACTAAAGATGCGGCCGCAATCACACGATCCGGTCGGAACGCTTGTATTATCAGCAACTGATGCATCGACGTTCCCGTAGGCGATAGCGGTTTCTCTTCGTCCCAGAGCTTCGGCACGCACGTCTCAGGAGTGGGTGACTGTAGCCACGCACCAAATTCTGAATTTTCCTGGATTTTTTCCGCAAGTTTTTTGAAAGCGGGTAGTCTGATGCTCAGGCGCATCATCGCCTCCTGCTGCTCCGAGCTGAGATTAGATACCGGAGGGGCTCGAATGTTAAGCACACCTTCCTTGCCGCGCAAAAAGAATGTGAACTCGCTGTCATAAGTGGATTCCGTGGGTATACCTTTCAAATGAATACGACAGAGTAGCAGAGCAAATGTTAGTCTATCGGTATGCAGCATTCCTCGAGCAACTCGTTCATAACAGACGGCAAATAGATCGCGCGTGATTTGTGTAAGTCGCTGACCATAATCCGACATGCCGGACAACTTTGGATTTTGAGACAACACTGACGTGAAGATGTCCAGGAACATTTTTAGCGAATACTGATATAGGAAGTGTACTTGATTGAGACTGTCCATCGTGAAGTACATGTTTGAACATGCTTGAGACAAAGGCATGTATTGCTGTGAGACAGTTTCGATTTCCGCTATGACCTTGTCCGTTTCCTCTACCTTCTTGCTAATCTCGGCGGCTTCCTGTTTTAAAGTCTCAAGAGTGGTGATCACAGAATCATCATCGAGGATCTTGCCTTTGGCATCGTTCAATGCTTGCAGCAGAGATTTCTCGAGCTGTCTCAATCTCAGATGGAACTCTCCTTGAAGTTTGAGTAAATCAGATCTCTTTTCATCGATGTCTGGACGTTCGGCCTTCAGTACCTGATTTAAGCATTGGCTCTGTAGAGAACTTCTAGTAACGGTGAAATTAACAAACGTCACACGTGAACAGATATCCGGCGGGAATTCTACCGTCGGGTCTCTCGTTGACAAAAAGATAACGAAAGAAGGCGAAAGATCTATATCTTGATCGCCGAGCGTAATTAGCACGCGTCCGCCCGTTCGCCTCAATTCTCGATTCAATACGGGATTTAATATAGGATCATAATTCTCTACGTCTTGAACCAGAAGAGGATTACCGAATCGTAGAGCGCTTTCGAGATTCTTTCTGAAGGAATCGTCTAAGAAACTGGTTTTTGTAATCTTCCGGTCCTTAAACTCGTTCATAATGAATTCTGTCGCCTGACCAGATGGATCGATGATTAATGGATACCTATTGAAACGTTTCAACATAATCGCATTCTCGGTACACAAATCGTCGGTCGGTAACGCGTTCGCCTGCCATCTTAAACGCTCATCTGGATTGGACAAATATTCTGTTCTTGCGATATCAGGTCTGAATTGCAAGTTTGCGTGTTGCAAGTGTTGACACCACGTGGTAAACAGATTTTGACGATACTGAAATACACATTCCATTATAGATTGATACAATTTATCATTCCAAATTCAAAAGAAATATTAAGAGCTAGAGCTTACATGTTGATCGAAATAACCAGCGTAAGCCAAGAAAGCGGAAGATAACAGAACATCTCCGATTATCGTAGACATTTGACTCTTAAATGTTTCGCTCGTTGCTTCCCATCTTTCCCTTTCAATAACCAAGGACTTTAACAAAGCGATCGATCTGTCTACTTTGGCTTGTACGCTTTCCAGATCGGCTTTGATTGCTTGCGCTTGTGAGATAAGTTGAGCATACTCTTCTTTGTATGACGCTATACTCTGTTCCAATTGAGCAATTAAGTTTTTCACTTCTTCGCCCTTTAATTTGTTAGTTTCCGCTTGTCGCTCCAGAGAATAAAGCTCATCGCGTAATGGTTCAACTCGTTTCAACATGTCGGCATATTCGATCTAAAAAACATATTTATCTTGTTTATTCTCTTGTTATATTATTTTTTCGGATTTAAACGTTGAAAATTACCTGTGCTATGGCCCATTTTACCATAGGACCACAAGCTAAGCTGGCGCGATTTACTTTTTCAAAATTATAATCGGGATTGCTCAAATAGCGGCTCTTCATTTTTTCTCTCACCTCATCACTAAATAAAATATTCATTAATCTCTTCGTTGTTTTTCAAATAAAATGATTCTTTAATTTAAAAAATAAAATAGTTTTAATTATTTATTTTTCTTTAATTTTATTTAATTTGGTTATACTTAATAAAATACTTTAGATAATTTATTTTTTTTTTTTAACGAGGAATTATTTCAATTTGGCAGCAAATTAAAAATTAATTCTATTGTGCAATTACTAATAAGAATAGAGCATTTTATATATATTATCGTTAATCATTGTTTTGAATAATTAAAATTTAAACACGTGATGTTAGTAACAAATCAACATTGTTAACATGCAATAAAGGAAAAATATTTCTACATACAATATTTTTCAAAATTTGTTAATACACATCGCGTATTCTGAAGCGATTTCATGATTGCCAAGTCAAATGCAAGAAATATTATCACAATGTGTTATATTAATAATAGGAAAAAAAAGATATCAATCAATTTATTACAATATTTACAAAAATAATCATATTTTCAATATATTTATGCCCGATTCTTACCAACGTAGATTTATTTTAATCTCGGTTTAATTTGCTCTTCTTCTAGAATTAAAAAAAGATGAAGAATAAGTTGAACTGAGATTAAAGTTAATCTACGCTGATGGAATCGGGCATTATAGTTCAACGACAACGCAAAAAAATGAGATCAGCAAACACGCGTTTAAGAATCGTTTGTAAACTAATACTTTGATTGTCAATATGTAATCATATTTTAACGCAACAGTAACATTGCATCATACATCTAAACGATATATCTAAATTTGTGATAGCTGATCCCCCGATTTCACAACAAGGAAAACAAACAATGAATATATGCTTACGTAATGTCCTCAGTACTGAAATTAGAGACAATAGTATTGATAAAATTGTCCCTCATGATGACCGCGCGGATAGATTTCCAATCGCTGGCATTTTCGCCGAGCAACAAACAGATAGATTCCAATGCGACTTTTACAATCGCTGGCGGATTCGCCATGGAGCGAACCTCGACTAAATGCTGTTTCTTTATCGATTTCACAGCTGTATAAACAATCAAAGAAAGCATCATATAGTACAAAGAAGAAAGTGTGCAAGCATTAGGCAAAGTTACACAAGATAGTAAAGTTATACAAGAAAGGACACTGGCTGATCTTCCTGCGTAGTTAACCTAGAGTGTTAGCTTTAAAAGAGGCAACATAAATAACATATATTATATACATATTATGTCTCATCTTTACATTTGCAAAGAGATATAAATGATCTCGTGAAATATTTTTGTCTTCAATATCTTCTTTTGGAATATCATAGATTCTCTTTGCAGTTGTAATGATACAGTCATAAGAAATGAGCACGCTGAAATTAGAATGAATAGACGTTGAGAAAGAGACATGTATCAAGCTGTTACAAAATATAGTGTTTCATATGTCGTGTTTCATAAAATCGCACGCGCGAGCATTCAGCAGATCCAGGAGTCGCTTTCTTACATGATGTTCTCCGTGTTAAAGTTGACAATAGTGGGAATAAAGCTGTCCTTCATTATAACGGCACGAATCTGCTTCCAATCTATGGCATTTTCCTCGAGCAATAGACATATAGACTCTAGAGCCAGTTTTACGACAGCGGGCGGATTCGCCATGGATCGAATCTCGACGAGATGCTGCCGTTTAATCGCTTTCACGGCTACACTCAATGCAAATTTTTTTTTTAACGCAAGGCATATCAGAGCACGATTATACCGCAAATTTAAAGCAAAAATAATTTAAAAACAATGTAAATATACATTAATGTTGCCTTCATGTTTCTTGAATACTATCGTAGTGAGTGATTAAATAACTTGATACATAACACTTCCGACACAAAGACATTACCGACAAGAAATTAATGTTGCTATAAATATGAATAAAATTTTTCAAAAAATTTAAAATTTACTATTCAATTAATCTTAAAATTACTTGTTAATAAACTTGTACAATAAAGAACATCATTACAAAGAATATTAAAGATACATACCATTTTGAGCATCAATCACGGCTGGTTCTACCAGAGCAAGATCCGCCATAACATCATCTCTTTTTTGATTAATAGCTACCGTTTGAATAGCCAATTGTTGTTGAATTTCTTGACTTTGCACCTTTTTCTTCTCGGCTTCTTGTTGGTCTTTAACCATTTGTCTTAATTTCGCATTAGCAGCTTCATTTTTAGCTTGCAGTTCCTATAGAAAAGTAGGATAATATATATTGTAAAAAGATCTGTTCATTAAAAAGCATTAAAAAAAAAGAGAAAAAAATAAATGTTTCTCGTGAGTCTTTATGCCTCACCTGAGATTTAACAGCTAAGCTCTTTTGCATTTCCTCTACTTGTTCTACCGTCTCAGCAATTTTACTCAAACCAACATTTAGATGTAACTGCTGTTCTTCCAAATCGCTTCTCTTTTCTTGATATAACTTGACAAAGTGATTAATAAAGTCTAAGTAATGCCGCGGTGTAATCGCCATTGTTCTGGCACCTCTTTTAGCCAACCGCGCATTTGCTTTGTGTAAAGTCTGATGAACGTAAACACACGCATTTATTACGGCGTCTCGATGTGACGGTTGCGAGGACGGTATCGAGCACACAGACGGGAAGAAGTCTGGACATTTCCATGTGGGTCTCTCCAAGTCGACGCGATTAGTGAACTCTTTGCCAACCTGGAACAACGCGTTGTCTGACCAATCGCCAAACCAATTCAACACGCATCTGTTGAATAATGCAGGTGACGTTGCCGCGCGATCTTTCAGGCCATCTGTATTTGGATTCATTGTGAAAACGACATGCAGATTTTTCATCACTTGGCCCGTGAACCATTTGTACAATTCTTCATTGGAATCTAACATCAGACCCTCTCGCTGAGCTCCTTCCTTACACTGCGTCATGAGCGTAGTGTACTCATCACCCTCGAATAATCCGGGTACTTCTCCATTGGCGAGCAGCGTGTTCATACGTTCCAGGAAACCAGAATCCAACACGTTAGACTCGTCGAGAATAAAAGCTATCTTTTCGTCTTTGCAACCGGATCGTCGTAATACTTGTCTTAAATCTTCATCAAAATCTTCGCCGGTATATTTATTATGTACCTATCAGAGACACATCGATTAATTAAAAAAACTCAAAAAAATAAGAAAATTTTATTTAAATTTATCAGAATAATTACAATATTATAAAACCATGATATGGTTTTATAATTATAAAATTATAAAACCATATCATAATAGAATTACCTTAATTTGGAAGATAGACAAACCATTCATCCATGCAACGAATCTCGACAGAGTGGTCTTTCCAGCACCAGAGACACCAATAAGCAACAAGTGTCCTTGAGGCTGTCGGAAAATTCTATCAATTCGTAGGACATGTTCGAGAACCTCATCAAAGAGTACCAGCGGTACATCTAATTCTTCCTCATAGAACACTTTCAACCTTGCTCGAACATAATCTCTCAGCTCTTCCCTATTCACTGGTACATAATCCTTCGACAACCAGTTACTATATAAGATTGGTCTGGCCAGCGCTTTCTCTCTATCAACCGACATAAAGTGCTTTAGAGCCACAGTATCTATGTTCTTGTTTGTCCAGGCTCTCTCAGATTCCTCTACCAATCTGTCTTGGAATAGACGAAGAGCCTCATGGGCCCATAAACGCACTAAACCTTCCACGGAAAGATTATCGAGCGGTCTAATAGCTTCACAAATGCCACGCACCCAACGTGTCATTTCACGTGGAGAATATACATAATGCGGTTGCATATCTTGAGTAAATCTCTCCTGAGAGGCCAGGTAGAACTCCACCATTGCATTCGTCAATGGTTCTGCGTAACCTCTTAGATTAGGCGTCAATCTGTAATTTTACATAAAAAAATTCTGTTTCGTGTTTATCAATATTTATAATACTTTATTCTATAAGCAACGAATAGATATTTTATTCATCAAAAAAAGATGTACGTCAAGCTGCATATAAGGAGATACATAATAAATAAAATTCTCACCTAAGCATGGCACGCGTAAATGTGCCATAAATTTGTTTAAGTGAAGTTTCTCCTGGATAATCAACATAAATAACGGGTACGTGACGCAGGAATCTGTGACTGAGAGGTTTCCTACCAGGATCTGTAGGTGGATTACAGGCACCAACAAACTGAATCCTTTCCAGAGTAACCCATGCCTGGTCACTGGTTCTATAAAAACCTTTATGTTCTACCAATTGCCTCAAGAACGAGATCACACGTTGCGTCCCGTAATTATCCATATCGGGTAAATTAATCTCGTCACAGAACAAAACCAACCACTTGCCCAATTGTACTGGGGAGAGCACGACACCGTTAGGCGTTTTACGATATTCGCAGTAGTGGTCAAACGTTTTGAGCAACAATTCGGGTGTCGTCGCGGAAGAGAAATTAAGTCCAACCACTTCCATGTCCGGTAACGCTCGTAAAGCAGAAAATAGCGTCATGGTTTTACCAGATCCGGGTGGTCCACAGAGTACTAAACGTGCAAACATAATTATATTTTCAAATGCATATATAATATATAATAATATACGTATACGTGTATACAACAATAATAACGTGTTTAATTACAAACGGCATCATGACTATTTACCTAGAGGCTTATGTTCAGCCAGCCAAGTATATAGCAGACTCTCGTGCCTTACAGTATCTAAAGTTGGCACAACAATATCCGGACTAGCTACCTTGTGAGTCTCCACTTCAATCTGAGGAACTTTGTTGCTCCAAGGTAACCATTCGCCATGTATGTTCACTTCAAAGTCTATAATAGGTATATTATTTTGAGACGGTAAAGGTACAGTTGTGATAGATCTAATAAAGTCACCCAAGTCGGATCTAACTTTTAATTTAGCATCTCCCGCGAAACTCCACAGAAGCGCGTAAACCAAACACTTGGGCATGTAACGTTCCAGTTGCTCGCTCGGTAAGGGAAAATCAATGTGAGAATGATTATACTGCAGTACATTACGGACAGCTTGATTTAACATGGAAAACAGGGAACTAAGAGCTCGCAAACGCGTGAAGTCCATTATGTGTTCTTGTTTCATGGCGTATTCTAAACATCTCACTACTAAACCATCGGGCGCGAAATAACTCTGCATAATGCTGGCGACTTCTCTCTGCACTGATAACGCGGGCGATAAAGTATCTTCTTTTTCCGCAGCTTTTTTTCCAAGATTATCCTCCTCACCATCCTCCAATGGGATATTTCGTAAACGTAGCATATAGTTTTCGAATATCATTTCCGTCGACAGCACGTCTTCCGAAAACCAAACCATACCGCAACGCGATACAGTGGCTAAAGTAGCATATTTCAAATCTTGCACTTCAAACATAACTCTTACATTCGGTGGTAGGCTCAGACGTTCACCATTGGGTAAAGTAAGAAGCTTGTTGTCATCCAATACAGAATTCAAATTTTCAACCCATTCCGGATCAACGTCTCCATCGAATATAATCCATTGTCGCTTGTTGATTTCACCTCTTACGTTATCAATTATCTTCCTCAGTATATGCGTGAACAGACCATCTGTCCATTCGCGTGTATTTGGATCTAATACGCCATACAATGTTTCTTTGCTAATCGCTTTGGGATCAATCACATGGGCAACGCCTTCTACACCTTCGAATCGTTCCAACGCTTTAAGCAATACCTTCCAGGCTGTCGTTTTACCAGATCCACTCGGGCCGACCATCATTAATCCATGATTTAAGTTACAAATTTGATATAATTGGAGCACCTAAATCAACAAAATAATAAATAAAAAATTTTAGCAGATAAGAATAATTCGCGATATAATTATCTAAGAAAGTACAAATATACAGGACATACATTCACAAACTTGATTATATTTAAATTATCTCACCTTTTCTACCCAAGTCTCTCCAATTAAATCCTTAGTACGCATAAACAATATAAAAATTAAATCTTTAAGCATGTTATTTAAAAAAAAATTAGATGCGATATTACTTTAATTAATGTTATTGATAATACATAAGAAAACAATTAGAATTGTAATTTAATCAGTGTTAAATATTATTTATTTTTTAGAGAATTGTTTCTGTTAGAAAAATATATTACCTTTTCTTGCCAGGCGCCTCCTTGTTCATCTCCTTCGCCGCACACTAGATATTCCTCGGCACAAACTTTCCTGATTTGATCTTTTAATCCTATAATACAATGGATATAAGTATGCAGAAATCTGTATAATTATTTGTAAAAAGATACATTATTATATTATCTATTATTATATTATTCACCCTTCATTTCCGCGCGTGTGTAATTCACGTTAGGGAATACGTCGCTGAGTAAACTGAATAACAATGGAATATCTTCGGCAACTAATTTAGGAACCATTGTCTCGCATACAGATTGAATGAGTATTTCTTGTTCGGGCAGATTTTCAGCAATCGAGGCTTCGTCGATATTGGTTTCACCTCGATTCTGCATACCTTCCTTGATCTTTTGTATACGATCGCGTTTCACATTTCCGGCAGAAATCAGCACAGATTTGAGTGCACGTAATCCAAAATCGTAATGGGATTGATTAGAAAGTTGTTCGTCACAAAGTCTGGAAAATGATACGAGTTCAATAATGCAGCAAATAATCTTTGCTACGTGAAAATGTGTGTACTTGTACATACTTGAAGAATGGTACAATTTTACATGCTAGTTTTTCCGCAGATCGGAAACCTTGACTGAAAAGCATTACTTCGGCAATCAGTTGCCGGTCAGGTGTGGTCATAGCAAGAGATCTGAAAAGCTTCTTTAAGTTGTCAGGTAGATTGGAACGTCCGGCATAACCGGGATTCATGGTGATGAATATAGCCATATCCGTGGAGACTTTGACTTGTTTTCCAACCAATTCGACACAGAGAGTTCCTTCTTTCTTGCCTTCCATTTGGCTTTTAAGTGCTTCTTGAATCGTCTGCACTTGCTGAGAGACAGCAGACAACATACGTTCTTCCAAACGGTTGAACTCGTCGAAACAACCCCACGCACCCACTTGACAGAGTCCAACAAATATACGACCCATAGCCTGTGAAAAATAATGATAATGTAAAGTAAGGTATTTTTCTTCATTATTAATATCGAGTTTATGTCTATATTTACCTGAAAATCGAACGTCTCATCGCAATTAAATACCAATACAAATCTTCCAAGCTGATGGCCTAATGCTTTCACAGATTCAGTCTTTCCTGTGCCAGCCGGCCCGAACGGTGATCCACCAAGTCGAGCTTCTAATGCTTGCGTCATTGTTAAGTAGCATCTATCGGTCAACGGTGTCTGCACCAATCTATCTTGTACTCCCAAATATTCAAATCCATAGAAGAATTTAGCATTCGCCATATGTATCGTAAGTTGCTGAAGTTCTTCCGTTTGCCTAGGATCAAAGTAAAATCTCATTTCGCACAGCCATTCGAAAGCCTTTGGATTCGAAACTCTGTTAGCGATCAATCGTCTGGTAACGGTGCGCTTGTGCACAAATTCATTAATCAAATGTTCCAACTTCTTTCTCCTTAAAGGGGGCTGTTCCTGAAGAACAGAATCAGCTAAGACGTTCAATGTACCTTCCACTTGCACTAGTACTCTTTCCAGCGAATTCTTGTTCGGGTCTGCTTGCGCTTCATGTAATGCCGCTTCTACATCTTCTGACCATAAGATCTGTGCAGCTAGAACTATTATCTGGGCTTGGTAATTGTCGCACCATGACATGAATGCTTGTTGATTTATATTTCCATCCTTAAACTGTTTAATATCCTGCACCGCTTTTGCGAGGCTCGAGGCAAGAGTCACGCGCATTTCCTTTTCCACAAGCGTCAACCATTCGTTGATTTTGGGGTGGTCGACTGTAGATACTGGATTCTGGAATATAACTTCTTCACCCTCGCGTGAAGCAACACCGGTAATAACTGTATTATCTTCATTCAAGAGAATAGCAGCTACACCAGCAAACATTTTCTTAAAGTGCTTCTGCAACCTTGCGATATTTTTACTGTTACCAATAATCTCTAATAAATCCTCATCGCCAACAAAGTAAAATCGTGGAAAAGATGTTCGTTCTCTTTCCAAATACTCTCCCAATGCCTTTTGTATTTTGCCGAGAAGATCGGCAAGACGTTCGAGCGCCCTTTGAACACCAGGAATGTTCAAAACATCTGTGACCATAGGAGATTTGGATACTTTCTTCATCAGTCCCAGGAATTCGGAACTAATACTTTGGAAACGCGATGTTTCTACCGGCAATAGTGTCTTGATATCTGCGCTACCAGAAAAGATGCCTTCGAGATAGACCCATCGCCGTTGTACATCTATCCACACATCGAATAGAGCATTGATCCTATTTAACTTTTCTTCCCAAGTTAAAGCTTCTTCCTCAAATACTTTGTAATATGGCGATAACTTCATAGCTGCCACTGAATTTATATGTTCTTTTACCTTATTGAATAAATCATCCCAACCACGTATAAGTCTGCATTTATTTTGGTAGTTTATCAAATCTAATTCATATGTTTGCCATGATTCGCGTACTTGCTTCAAGAATTCCTCGAGTGCCATTTCGCCCTGAGCCACAAGGATAATATCTTTAACTATACTCTCATTTTTTTGAAGATTTACATCCCAGACTTGACCGAGAGTAAGCTCACTCAATACCCAGTTCACTCGAAGTTGCTTTGTTAATTGTTTCCAGTGCCTTTCTTTGAGCGCGTCGGATTTCAATTCTACAATCAACATGTTCACTTTCGTATAACTTTGTAACATCTTCTTCACATACTCGTACGACGAATATTGCCTTAATCGTGCTGGAAGTTCCTTCAATTGCGCCATCATTGTATCCAATTGCTGCCGCAGTTTTCGCGGTTGTACAGAAAGCCAAGGTTTCTCACGTGTTTCGTCAATCTGAGCCCATATTCTTGACAATTCCGACCAAACTCCTCTCAAGTCTTGCAATTCTTCAAACACTACTTGCATTCTGTCTTCGCTGGTTGATATTCCGCCTGGCTCTTGCAATTCTAATGCTTCTTTAGCCTTGGCTACGTTATCTCTCTCCTCTTTGAGCCTAGCAAATTTACTTTCAAACAACTGCAGCTGTTGCAAGGCATCATCCGGTCGTAAATGGCCTTCCACCGGTTTGCCTCTTTCCCAGTCACTGAGGAAGTCGGTGGTTCTCGTTTCAACCGCCTTATCCTCAGCAACGATTTTCATTTGTAAAGATGCCACTTGAGTTTGAATACTGGTATCCTTGCGTTTAATAATTTCATTAAATGCACCCCATTCTCCCTCTATATTATCTACATGTAACCAAGAAGATGGGAATTGAAATCTCTGACGTTCGAGTATCCTTTGACCTTCGCGATATATATCTACTTGTTTTTCCCATGCTTTCATTTTGCGCTTCAGAGACTGCACGTATGTTATAAAACCGACTGCATCAGAAGTGCTAGCTGCTTCAATGGACTGTTGTTCTAAATCGCTTCTAGATTTCGATACTTGAGCATGAAAACTTGCCATTTCGTTACCCAGAAGCGTTCCAAATTTACCCAAAGTTTCTTTATGCCACGAATCATATTTTAAGGATACTTTACTCTGCACTTTTGCAAAATCTATGATTACAGGTCCAAATTCACGTCTCGTGTCGGAAGTATCAAACGTGGTTCTTGTCTTTTTTATATCATTGAGGCACTTCATCCATAAATTAATATTTTCACCCAATTTGCCATAAAGATTGCCTGGTTGTAGATCCCAGAGTGCTTGATAGCGCAGCCATTGATCAACGTAATCCGCAACATCCTTCATTTTGAATTCTACTGCTTCATATGCTGCTTCCAGTGGTTGCTTTCCGGAGGGTAATTTTGTAAGCAAATTTCTATATGTGCCTGATTCAGGTTTATCCAATCCAACTTGATATCTCGAGCTTTGCAGACGGATCTGTGATGTAACAATTGCTTGCCACGCAAATAACTGTTGCATTATCTGGAATCTTGCGTCTTCGATACTGGGATATAAATACATAGTTTGGTTGGTAATTCGGACTTCATGGATCTGATTCTGAATTTTAGGATCACCGCCAGGTTTGTGTGTCGGTTGTGCGGGAGCATCTGTATCCATACTTAAATCCACTTCTTTTTTATGACCAGTGAGCGCATCGGTCCATGCTTTTATTCCAGCTTCTAATCTGGCAGCCAAATTTTTCTCCACTTCTTCATCGAGTCTCGCTACCCAGATATGTAAATTCGAATAATTCTTCAAAGATAATTCATCTACAGATTTCTGTATCTTGGACAATATATCAGCGAATGTATTTGCGGAGTACGGACACGTTTCGAGAGAACGAACGTCAACATCTAATTGCTCTTCCACAACCAAAAGATCTTCTACCCTTTCTTGGAACGATACGACAGCATCCGATAAACGCTGCACGTATTGATCGAGTTTGTAGCTTTCCCAAACTAACGCAATACCCTATATAAAAACAATCAATATATTTATATTTGAATAAAGATATATTAGAAATTACACATTATATACACGCATATAAAGAAAGTAAATATAGAATATCAAAGTTTTATATATTAACTCTCTTACCTCGGAGATCAATGATAAAACATCTTTACGCATACCAGCGACCAAGGGTATAATACTGGCCTTGTCCTCGATCTAAGAAGAGATTTGTTAAATTATTTTTTAAAGTTGTAATATACATAAATCATCTTAGTACAATTTTACGACATTAATTACAAGTTATCATTCAATATCGAACTTAGGAGTATGCATACTTAAAAATTCAATATATGACAGTTATAACATTATGATAATTGGTATGTTCATATCAAGTAGACAATTATATATATATATATATATATATATATATATATATATATATATATATGTATACATATATATACATATAATCGTTTTCAAGCAACTTTCCGGACATGCAGATAGTCTCGTTTGTTAAAATTAACACAATTACATTTATTATTTAAAATGACATTTTTAGATTCCACTTTCATACATATAAATCAATTTAATTTAGTTAATCTATTTATATTTTGTCTTAATATTTTTTAAAATTTATAATTGAAATTCTCACAAACAACTTTTGCTTTTTTAGACCTCTCGCACATCCGTAAAAACTTATATATATATTTGAAAATAATCGATATAACATTCGTTAAATATGTAAATCAGTAAAATAAATCGTTATCTTGCATTACAAATTTATCTACAATAGCTAAGCAGGCAGACAATAATGCATTTGCATATATAGGCAAGATGCATAATTCCCGGAAGCGTCAAGTATGACTACCTTTAATGCGGGACAATGGGGACTCCGATTGGTAAGCTAAAAATATTGGAGATCCAAGGAATTAGAGATATCCATTATTCTATTATTTACCCTTCAATATCTGGCACTATTATCCTATCATAATCTATTATTTCATTTGGACTTTTAAAGCTTTAATTATGCCTATATCGTTATAACACTGATAACTTGTAAAATGCAAAAACATCCAAAATAAAGAAATCGATTGTTTGTTAGAAACCGTTCAACTTTTGAATAATGATAACTAAGAAGTTATTATCAGTCGTCTTACCTTTTCCAATGTTCTCTCATAAGTTCTGATACTCTCAATGAGACTGATGGCAAAGGGATACAACTGATTAGCCTGGTGAGCCTTATTCACAATAGGTAGAGGCACGCGAAATCCGAGATTCCTCAGGTTTCTCACTTCTTTGGACAACGTAATAATCTCAGGAAGGAAATTTACTTTTAGTTTTAACACATTGCCGCGTCCGGTCCTTGAACGCACGCTCTCAATAGTGAAGATACGCCCAGTCACGCCGAGATTTCGCGCCTGTACCTTGCGTGCCCAGTCATCAAAAATTTCTTGCGTTGACAATTTCATACGGAAGCTATCTCCGTCGGCTTTTAATTTTTGACCTTCGATATGACTTTCCCATCCCTTGCCTAAACATATGCACATGTAATATTAAATGAAGAAAATATTTAACAATTCAGAAATTGGAAAATTACCTAGGACATCTTCGACGCGTTTCAAATACATTGTCAATTGGTAATCGATTTGTTTGACCCATATTATCGATCCAGCTACGGGTGGCAAATCTCTCACCATACTCATTCTGCAGCATTTACTCTGCGCGTATTGAACCTAGAAGAATTTTAAAGCACACTTAACAATCTATTTGTACTTATTTGAATCATGCAGCCAGAAAAATGCATTAATTTCTCTCATTAATTTAAATAACGCTCTTTTTAGTACTTATTATTTGCTATAAGCTTTTATCACTGCAATCCTCAATGATAAAATGAAATATTTTAAATATATCAAAATTCATACAAAAACATTACGTCTGCTCTTATCAATTTAAAGTGTACTCATTTATTTAAAATGCGAATATATCCGAATTAAAGCTTTTCATTTAATACCTTAAACTTTTCATGCAGTGCTTCGATATCATCTTTGACTCTTTGTATAAGTTGCGTCTGGTATTCTCTAATAGCACCTCGAATATGCGGCCGTACAAAAAGCGCATTAAATCTTGAAAATATCCTAAACATTTCATTCGCGTTCTTGGCTGTGCCCAATTGATCTCGGAGATGTGCCGTGATCCGCGCCTCCACGCGCTCAATACGTTCCTCGTATCTGTGCACAGCAGCATCCCAGGATTCTTGTCCTTCCTTCGTGATGTCCAGGCAATCCACCTCTTTCACGTTCTCGTACGCCAAGTTAACTTCGCTAATAGCATTGGCGTCAGCAGCATCCAATGCAAATTCTACTTTCACATTGTCATTATCGGCGTTCTCTATTGTGGAATTATTGCTATTCTGACGTATGGTAGGTCTGAGCACACGGACTATTACCGTTCTCAATTGCTCGTGCTGTCGCCGGAAGCGGCGCATGTGCTCCATTCTCGACTGCAGCTTCTTATGCGCCGGTAATACCCTCCATACCATTTTCATATGTTCGTCACGTTTCTTCTTCACGACATCTCTCAACAGTCCCGTGAGCTTGTCATATTCGTCATCCCAAGTGGTAAACACCTCAAAGCATTGAGCCATAACTTTCTCAAAATCATCGAACGGAATGTGCATTAATCGTCGTGTACCCAACACCTTGAGTAACTGTTGTCCCAAATCCCTCGAAATGGCTTCCACCAATCTCAGTACTCTCTGAATAGGATATTTCGTGCTTCTGATCTTCCTTAAATGCATAAAAATTTGCTGTACACTGCTACGTATTCGTTCCAATTCGGTGGCCGACAGCAGATCGTTAATCGGAAAATCTTTCATCAACGGATTGTAATCGTTAACTGTGGCTAGCGCTTGTTTCAAGCCGGTATCGGTGTCGAAACTGACGGTGGCATGGAACCGCTTACCGTGCTTGAGTATATCGAGTGTCAATGAGATCTCGATGCTCTCGCGCTTCTCTTGAATGCGATGCAACGCTCTCTCGAGATTTAACCAGAATGATATTTCTTGAAGGGCCGTACCCGATTCTGGGTCGCGATTTAACTTGGTTACTTTTTGAATCTCTTTTATCCATCTGTTCACACCATTTTGCAATTGGTTCAGGAATGTTGAATCCTCAACCTTATCGCCGAAATCGGCGACTTTTGGCTTACGACCCTCCTCTTCGCACTGTTTAATAACTTGTGCGACAATCGGGTGAACAGGCAATGAAATTTCAGGAATATCAATATTCTGCTGTAGATGTAGCAGTCCCATCTCAAGCTCCGCAATCTTCTTCTCCACTAACGGCACCATTTTATCCCCATCTCTATGGGCACGACCTGTTTCCTTGACGTAACTCTTGAAATAGGGTGCCATGGTTTTGCTTATCGCATGCAGAGTTTCGTACGGTGGCCCGTCAGAGAAAGTGATCAAGCGCACTTGAGAGTGAATAGATTTATCAGCCTCGATGACAATTCCACGCTTCGTTAAAACTAGGGAGGCCATTTTTGGATTTGAAAAGTGTATCTCATTTGATATATAATATGTCGCATTCTCCTTGTCTTCATCTCCTTCGCCACTATCTTCCTCTACAAAAAAAGAATGATAAATATTAAGAATTTCATCCAGTTTCAATTTGTCAAAAAATTAAATCATGATTAATGGTTAATTTTAAAAAAAAAGATAGAAAAAAATTACATGTCACTAAAGATTTTTGATTTATTTATATCTTGTCAGATAACACAGATAAGTCTTAAAGACATGTTATGTTCCAATTTTGGATTTTTGTGTCGTTTGAATTATTAACTGTTATTGACAAAATAAAGATTTGAATTGTTTGAATTACCTACTAAAGTAAACTGGAGTACTAAAGTTTAAGTAGAAAATAAAAAAGTATATATTATATTTATATATAAATATATAATTTTTATATATGGAATGTTTATCATCAGAATGATTATCTTGATATGGAGAGAAGGTGCATATGCGATAAAATGCGAATGCAGCAGAATTCGCAATTTGTTATCAAACCACGCGTTAGTGCTATATGTGCTCATCAGCGCAAATACAAGCACAAGGAGATCGGGAGAGAGGGAGAAAGAGAGGGGGAGAGAGAGAGAGAGAGAGAGAGAGAGGAGGAGAGAGAGAGAGGAGGGGGAGAGAGAGAGAGGGAGAGCACATCGAAGATCACGAGGAGCGAATTTGCAGGTCGTCCAACGTCGATCAACGTTATACGAGCATATCGATCTCATTAGCATCGACTGAGTCATATTCGGCGACGAGCGGGGCGTGAATGCGTCGCAATTGATTTTGCCGGACGGCTTCTTCTGCGCTGTATACGCATGAATGTACCGTTGCGTGCAGCGTCACGATTAAGGTAATGCAATGGAGGGATCGCGCATCGCCGGTCGGCTGGTGACCAGCCGTGGCTTTTCCTCGCCTTCGAATAAAACGACAATGACGATGTCGACGGTGGCGATGACGACGATCGATCATCGCGCTCACCTTTGCTCGAGCTCCTCTGCACGTAGAGCGAGTTGACCTGCGAGTCGCCGAGAAACTTGCGGATGCAATCCTGATTATAGCGGTCCTCGAGCGCCAGGTTGAACGCGGGTGGCACCACGTCCTCGTCCGGCAGCAGCACAGTGACGGCCTTGCGCAAGTAGCTGGCGAACGTCGGGAACTCGACGATCGCGACATTCTGCGACTCCGGGGACGGTTCCCCGGAGCCATCCAAGGAATCGCCCATGCCGGGTCGATTGGTGCTCGCTACTCGCTCACTACTGTCTCGACAGATTCACTCCCTCTCAGATGTCGGAGCGCGATCGCCACCGGTGGATAGAGCGCACGGTAGAGCGACTACCAATCCCTTCCGCTCCGGATTGAATTGTCAGGTTACCGGATACATCAGCGCCACGAATAAGAGCCAACATGGCGCTTTTCCCGCGAAATTAAAGTAGCAGTAGTTCGTTCTTACGAGTAAAAATGAACGTCGAACGTCAGCATAAAGATATCTTAAAGATAAAAAAGCAAGCTTTCTGAAATTGCTAATCTAATAGATTAATGTTAGTTAATTAGTGCCTATATGGATACACAACTACACAAGATTTTATTGTTTGAACTGAACAAACTAAAAAACCAGGTAATACAAACTTAAATTCATGCATTAGATATTTTTAATAATTTTTATGAATATACTTATCATGAATATTTTTTTTACACTTAAAATAGAGATTGAAAGTAAATAAATATCCCAGCAAGCATTAAGTTACATGGAATATAAATGTTTAATGTATGACATACATTCGTTTGACATATTCTGAATCCTCTTTATCAATAAAAGGTGCCTCTAAAAATGGATTATAATCAATTAGAAAACTTCCAAGCCATTTTTAGATAAATCAAAGTCTGTTGGCGCATCTATATATATTTCACATCGCTATCGCTGATATGTCATTCAAAACATGTAAAAAAAAATGATATGAAATATAAAAAGGAGAAAATTAATCAATGTCAAATATCACGAATGTATGATTTCTTTATTACTAATAGTTTTTTTGTCTGTCTCATCATCGCTTGTGTCACTTATGATCTCATCCTCAGAATTCTCACCGCTTCCTATGAACGTTTCCTCTTGAAGAAAAGATGATGGTAGTTTTGTGACGAATCGCGTGGCTTGAGTTTCAAGAAGAATCTGTGGTAAGGATGTAACAGATTCTTCATCTTGATTGTTGCAGTCTTCGATGAATGATATATTATAAATATCACGTTTCAGCGCTTTTACAGGATTTACATTGTTTTCTTCATTTGATTCGTTGAATTTTTCTTGAATAGACGAATCATTATTTTCTATCTTACGAATAGGAGAAGTCACTTTCCTGTAATCTGAATCAATATCGCTCGATGGTGTTGACCATATTTTGTAAGAAGGCATTGGTGGTGGAACAGGTATAATCTGATAGTCCTTATTTGCATTGTCTTCCATACTCGATGCAAGATTCTTTGATATATCTTTATGTAGACGTTGTAGCGCTCTAGACTCTCGTTCCGACATAGACTTATGTTTATCGACTAAAGCTTCTTTCAATTCGCTCATGAAACTTTTTGCTAGAAGCTTATCCAGCTTTTTTTGCTCTAACGAATATTCGTCCATAGTTTCATCTGACGGATTTAAATATTCTTCTTTTATATACTCTTCAAATACCTCATCAAGGATCTCCGGATCCGAATCAATGATTATTGGCAAATCAGAATTTTCATTTATTGCAATACTATCAGCTGTAGATTGACTGCTTCTCAAATCATTGAATCGCGATCTCGCTATCAACATAACAACAAATTCTGCTAAATTTTTAGCTGTGTAAATTTCCTTGAATGCTTTATCCAACTTTTGCATTAATGTATCAGCTGTTTCATTATCGATAGCATTTTCCTGATTAATACAATCATCAATATTTTTAAATATTGAAAAAATTTGATTGTAAGCCAATTGCAGTTTATATGATGCCAAATCTAATTGGACAGTTGGATCGTGCCACTTAATTCTGTCCCGTGTCCTAATAAAAAAATTATGATGTTACCCATTGCAATAAACATAAACATAAATATCTTCCAACTTACTTATATCGAACTGGTTCTATTTTGCAAGTACGATAAGCGTTAATAACTTCTGATAATTTAACTTTATACATTGCCAATTTTTTAGGTAAAATATAAATTATATTCGTTAATTTTGTTTCAGGAATCTTCTGGCAGGAATATATCCAAGTATCACTGTCATATGCAATAGCTAATAAATACAACATTTCTGACTGTACTAAAAGATAGGTGTGATACAATTTCTATAAAAAATAACGTAAAAATATATAGTAAATGTCTTAATATATCATTAAAATATGTTATTTCAAAATTCCATCATTTATTTACTTTTAATTCTTGGTGATTAATTTCGCCAGATTCTTTAAACCAGTTATGCTCGAATTTCGTAAATAATTCTTCATTAAATATGTCCGGTGGTAGCAATTTTGCAATTGATAGTGAACATTCATAATATGTGCAGGAAATATTTTTCATAAATTTTATTAAAATATCTCTCAGAGATTCTAAGTATTGTAATTTTTCACCTAAGAAATGACTAATACAAACAGAGAAAAAAGAGAACATTATTTATACTACAGTGTTTATACATTTAAATATATACATTTTATACATTTAAATATACACATCTACACACACACACGCACGCGCATGTATAGAATTAATATTTTTAATTTATATGAAAGTTGTAAACTTACGAAAATTGTTGAAGACATGTTTCAGAATCCAATTTTATTTTATAATCACGTTGTAAAATCTTAAGACCTTCTTTACATAAGACAAAAAGTTCATTTTGTAATAATATAATATTTTCTAAGTTTCTATTTGCATAAAAACGCAAACATTTTATATAACCCATGCAACAAATTGATGATATAAATAATGCTGATACTATCTTGTATCTGTACAGTGAAACATAGATTGAAGAGACTAATACAACTCCTGTCATAATTAATTCTTGCAACATTATTCTGCAAATTAAGTAATTTCAATGTTAATTCAGAAAACACATTGATTCCCAATCGATTTTATATTGTTACAAAATAATTGTTTGTATGAAAATAAAAGAGCAAAAAATAAATCTCAGCATAAGAATACTTTATAGAATACTTCTTACATATATATAATAGCTTTTATAATATTAAAAAATTGTATTACTTTTTAGATCTATTATTGCACTTGGTTACAAAGCTGTTAATCACAGAAAAATGATCGTTTAATAAAGTATCTGCATTCAAAATAACTTTCAACTGTTTTTCAGAAATATTTTTTTCCTGCAAAGAATAAATTACAAGAAACATTTATATCTTATAATTATATAATTTCTTTTAAAATACTTTTAAAGCATACCTGTGTTATCCAGGAATAAAGAGAAAATAATTTTGTATAAATCCTTTTCACAATATTTCTAATATCCTAGAAAAAAATAGTTACATATAATTTATCAGAGATGAATCTTTCATGCTTTATATATGTTTAATATAAAAATTTACAATATTTAAATAATGTTTTTTTTCGAAATATGTTCTCTTAGGCATGGACATACTCTCGAAGTCAATATAACCCAATTTTGACAAATGTTCATGAAGAGCACCACCCTGTAACATAATGATTTTTAAATAATATTCTCACTTAATTATGTTTCTTCAGTTGTTTATTCAGTTTTTATCTTCATTATTTGTTCATTTTATATTCATTCTTGTCTATTCTTTATGATTCTTAACTATCTTTGCAACTTGCAAATTAATGTCTTTGATATAAAAATTATATATTTAATTAAACTAAAGAAACCACATTATCAAAATGAAAATCCTTTTATATTCTCAATCTTAATTTTGGAGAAAATAGAGAAACATATGCATATATGAATAAAAACATAACCTTATCTTTTTGTTTGTGATAATAAATGGGATTTCTTTAATCACATTGATAAGATTAAGAAACAAATTCATCGTACTTGTATCACAACATCCTCGTCTTCCTCGTCGATGCTGTTCACTTCCATTATTATTATTAATTCACTATAAACTATGCAAGTAATACATATATCATTTTTCCTCTTTTATTTTGTCGTAAGATACCGAGATATCTTGCGAAATTAAGGAAATATAAATTTATTAATCATAAAATTTTTTAGAAAATTAGATAGAAAAAGATAAAATTCATAATGTTACTTTCTCGTGATCCTTTATTTTGAATTATTAAAAAACCATGTTTGATAGTGTTTTTTTTTATACTTGACTTAGTGTACACTTCTTGTACTTAAAATGAAATATACATATTTGATATATATATATTTGAGATTTAACAAAAGCGAGATAGAAAATTTCAGTACAACTCAGTGTAAGAGGAACAGAAAACAAACTCTCCCCTCACACCATACACACACACACACACACACACACCACTCGCTCGCGCAGCAGCAAAGAGAGAAGGGGATATTATTTCAAAACTTATTCTATAATTTATTGTAAAATGATATTGAACACTTTTACAAAAGTGATTGCATCAAGGGATTATGTCAGTTAAGAATGAAAAAGTGTATATAGAGAATTATTTAGAAAGAGCAGTTGAAAAGACTAATATCAATTCAAAATAAATTATATACAAAATATAATTCTTTTATTATTAATTAGTATTTTCTCCTATATACAAAGTGTTATATTTAATATACTTATATAATTGAAGTACCATATGATTACAATTATAGAATATATCTCATTACAATTACAACAGGTAATGTAAGAAAATATATAATATAATTTGAAAGGAAAATTTGTAAAAAATTTAATACCAAAAAACTTGGCACTCCTATATTATTATTAAAATATACTTAGTATTTTATAGTAATAAATTAAAACAAATGAATTAAGATACAAATTTCTATAAACAAGTGCTAAGTTTTTTAGATTAAATTTTTAACATTAAACAAATATTTATTGCTTAAATCTTTTTTTCTTTGTATTACACAGCCATGTATTGTTTATATAAGTAATACATTCTTAATCTTTAATAGAAAATTTTTAACACATAAAACTCAATAATAACATAATAAACTCAATAATAACATTTTTGTGTAAGACTTATATTCCTATATCATTAATTACATACATAGTAATTCGATAATATTTGTATCACATTTCTATAAATAAGGAACAATTGTTTTTCAATCATAACTATGATATATTTATATATTCTAAATTTAAAAAAAATGTAAACGATGGTTCTTTTTAATACTTTGCGATATTATCATCCAAATATCAAAATACATAAATGCTACATGCTATTTTTTCTAAATTGCTACAATATATGAGTATAAATCATTTTGTTTTACTTTTGTATGATTGAAATGATTATGTACGTTCGACAACGCACTCACATCAAAGATCAGTTCTGCATCTTAAATATATGCAGTATTTCTTAATTCAAAAGACAGGGACGAATGAGATATAGACATGTTATTCCTATTGTAATGATATAAACTACATATATCGTGGGATATAGGCTGTAATGTTTAATCAATTGTTGCAAATATCGTAGAGAGTTGTCCACTTCGTTCTAACGAACTTTATATTCCTCGACAGAATTGAGATTTCCCTCTTAATGCAACACATATCATATAATATTTAGGATTCGAACTGAAATAAGTTCGTCTCCCGACATATAGTGTATCCTTGAACTTCGAAGTAGGAATCAAGATATGATTTGGCATAGATCAGTTGGCATAATCAGAATTAAATCATCCTGATAAAGAGTGTCCTTAGTTTCTCATTGTCCTGTCAATGTATGTGTGAGTGTGATGCAAAAAATACAAATCGTATTTTAAATGACAAAACTGAACCATTTTTAATATATATATATATAAAATTAATTAATTAATTAATGCAAAATTAATTTATCATATGAATATGCCAATATAGAATAATTTATACTCATAATGTAAATAAATTCTATCTTATTTAAATATTATATGCCTAATGAAAATATGAATTGAATACATCCTGATGCTATCTATGTAGTAGTTATATACCACTTCTGTTGAATAAATTTATAGAAGTAAATTAAACAGCAATATACGTGTATTGAATAACATAATTTTAAAAAACTGTTTGATTATACTTTCTACTTTGTACTATTTCTTTAGAATTTGTTTGCTGTAGAGTAAAATATACTCAAGATTTTTATAAATTTAAAATGCAGTAAATTTCATTTTTATCATGCGTAATAAAATCCACTTAGTAGAAAGAATACAAATCTTTATCTCTTAAAAATCTAATTTGAAATGTACAACAGATACTGTATTTCTTTTAAATCTATTCGACATATATGTAACGCATGTATATATAAATATATACTTTGTACATTTATTATATAGTGACATTAAATAGAACAGAGACAATAGATTACACTCTTAAAAGTATGACTAACAATCATCTTCTTAGAAAGAAAGATAAAGATACTTTATTTTTTGTAACATAACTAGAATACTCTTTTATGTAATATAAAAAAATCTTATAAAATTTTTTGTCTTTTTCCTTTTTCAAATAAAAAAATATCGAAAAGATATCACTCTTATTTCTGTCTTATCTGTAAATGTTTTTAAAGAAATCTAAAGCTTTCTGTAATATTTAATGTCACTAAGTACAGTATACGGTATATGAAATAATTAACCAACCGGCAAAATGCTAGAGATATTATGATATATAATATATATGATATATATGATATACTTCTATTTTTTCATACTTTTCGAAGCAATTAAATTAATGAAAATTTAGAAATTATGATGTACTGTAAATGCTTTTGAATCTATGATGTTATGTAACGTTTTACATACTGAGTATTTTTTATTTCTGATATATTGTTACTATAATTTTAAATAAGTATTCTAATTTTAATGCCAAATTAATTTCTCTTTTTCTATAGACAGGTAGATGACATTTTTTCATTATTTTATACTATGCAAAATTTTAAGTCTGGAAAGTTATAACAAAAAAATATTTCTTATATGTGATATTGTACTGTCATATTAATTAGTAATGCGACTTATCGTTAAATGCATTTATAATCTTTGTTTCAATTTATATACATTGTATGTCTATCGGTATAAAAAACACCAATAATCAAAACAAAAACAAAACAAACAAAAATAATAAAAATAGCCAATAAAATAATTTTTGAGAATTCAGTCTGTTATTCCTCAAAATTTCCTCAAATTTGATGATCGAAATCACCATACATATCCCTAAAAATTCATATTCTATTACAAT